TGGTGGTTTAGTAGCATATTGTTTAGCCTCCATGTGTTTGTGTTTTTTGCATTTTTTTCCTTGTAGTTGATTTCTAGTCTCATAGCGTTGTGGTTGGAAAAGATACTTGATATTATTTCAGTTTTCTTAAATTTACTGAGGCTTGTTTTGAAGCCTAACATGTGATCTATCCTGGAGAATGTTCCATGTGCACTTGAAAAGAATGTGTATTCTGCTGCTTCTGGATGGAATGCTCTTTATGTATCAGTTAAGTCCATCTCATCTAATGTGTCATTTCAGGCCAGTGTTTCCTTATTGATTTTCTATCTAGATGATCTGTTCATGAATGTAAGTGAGGTGTTAAATTCCTCTACTATTATGTTACTGTTGATTTCTCCTTTTATGTCCGTTAATATTTGCCTTATATATTGAGGTGCTCCTGTGTTGGGTGTATATATATTTACAATTGTTCTGTCTTCTTCTTGGATTGATCCCTTGCTCATTATGTAGTGTGCTTCTTTGTAACAGTCTTTATTTTAAAGTATGTTTTATCTGATAAAAGTATTGCTATTCTGGCTTTTTTTTGATTTCCATTTGCATGGAATACCTTTTCCATCCCCTCACTTTCAGTCTTTTGTGTCTTTAGATCTGAAGTGAGTCTCTTGTAGGCAGCATATATATGGGTCTTGTTTTTGTATCCATTGAGCCACGCTGTGTCTTTTGATTGGAACATATAGTCTGTTTACAGTTAAGGTAATTATTGATATGTATGTTCTTGTTGACATTTTGTTAGTTGTTTGGGGTTTGTTTTGTTTTGTCTTTTTCTTCTTTTGTTCTTCTCTTGTAATTTGACTATTTTTAGTGTTATATTTGAATTCCTTTTTCTTTTTTTGTGTGTGTATCTATTTTTGATTTTTGTTTTGTGGTTACCATGAGATTTTTATATAGCAATCTATATATATGTGATTTAAGTTGCTGATCTCTTACTTTCAAATGCGTTTTAATAACCCTGTCTTTGTACTCTTCTCCCCTCACGATTACTGTTTTTATATTATATCTTTTGTCTAATTGTTTCATGTATCCCTTAACTGCTTAAGTGATTTTGATAGTGATTTTACTACCTTTGTCTTTTAACCTTCCTACTCACTTTATGTGTGGATGATTCCCTACCTTTACTGTGTGTTTGCCTTTACTGATGAGCTTTTTCATTTCATAATTTTCATGTTTCTCATTGTGGCCTTTTCTTTTTTCACCTGGAGAATTTCCTTTAATATTTGTTGTAAAGCTGATTTGATGATGCTGAACTCTTTTAGCTTTTGCTTGTTTGTAAAGTTTTTGATTTTTCTATCAAATCTGAATGAGAGGCTTGCTGGGTAGAGTATTTCTTGGTTGTAGGTTGCAGGTTCTTCCCTTTCATCATTTAAAATATATCATGCCACTCCTTTCTGGCCTGCAGGGTTTCTGCTGAAAAATCAGCTGATAGGCTTATGGGAGTTCCCTTGCATGTTATTTGTTGCTTTTCCCTTGCTGCTTTTAAGATTCTCTCTTTATCTTTAATTTTTTGTCATTTTAATTACAGTGTGTCTTGGTGTGTTACTCTTTGGGTTAATCTTGTATGGAACTCTCTGCCCTTCCTGGACTTGGATGACCGTTTCCTTTTCCAGGTTAGGGAAGTTTTCACCTGTTATTTCTTCAAATATGTTCTCAGCTCCTTTTTATCTCTCTTCTCCTTCTGGGACCCCTATAATGTGAATATTTGTACACTTGATATTGTCCCAAAGGGCTCTTAAACTGTCCTCATTTCTGTTTGTTCTTTTTCCTTTTTGCTGTTTAGTGGCAGTGATTTCTACTACTCCATCTCTCAGCTTGCTGATCCATTTTTCTGTATCATTTAGTCTACTGTAGATTCCTTCTAGTATATTTTTCATTTCAGTTATTGTGTTCTTCATCTTTCTCTTGTTTTTTATGTTTTCTCTTTGTTAAAAACTTTTAACTTCTTACTCTGTGCATCCATTCTTGTCCTGAGTTCTTTGATCATCTTTATGATCATTACCCTGGACTCTTTCTTGGGTAGATTGCGTGTCTCCACTTCACTAAGTTCTTATTCTAGGGTTTTATCTTGTTCCTTCATTTAGAACATGTTCTTCTGTCACCTCATTTTGCCTAAGTTGCTGGGGTTTTTTTTGTTTTTTTTTTTTTTTTTTGCGGTACACGGACCTCTCACTGTTGTGGCCTCTCCCGTTGAGGAGCACAGGCTCCGGACGCGCAGGCTCAGCGGCCATGGTTCACGGGCCCAGCTGCTTTGTGGCATGTGGGATCTTCCTGGACCGGGGCACGAACCCATGTCCCCTGCATCGGCAGGCGGACTCTCAACCACTGTGCCGTCAGGGAAGCCCCGCTGTTTGTATTTTTATGTATCTGGTGGGTTAATTACGTTTCCTGACCTTGGAGAAGTATTCTTCTGTAGGAGATGTGCTATGCACCCTAGCAGTGCAGTCCTCTATCGTGGCCAAACTGTATGTTTAGCAGTTCCCCCTATGAGGGCTGCATGGTTCCTTCTGTTGTGGCAGGCTGACTATGTGGACAGTCTGGTAGCCTTGGTTGGCCCCTACTCTGGTTGGTTGCCAGGCCATGCTTTGGCCGTGCTTTGGGAGGCCGTTGGCTACTGGTTGGTGGAGCCTAGTCACGAGGCAGCTGACTGCTGTACCCCAGGGGGCCCTGGGGCTAGTCCTGGCTCACTGGTGGGTGGAATCAGGGTCCAGAAAACTTTGGGGCTGTTGCCAACCTACTGATGGGTGAAGCCAGGTCTTGGGATTAATGCTGGACTACTAGCAGTCACAGTTGGGTCCTGGAGTCTGGCTGTAGTACCCAGGGATCACAGAGCTGGTGTCAGATAATTGGTGTGTGGGGGTGGGGGGTGGGGGCGTTTCCTGACACAGTTGAATATGGGGTCCAGGGTGTTGGGAAGCTTGTTTTTGCCTGCTAGTGGGAAGGATTGGGGCCCAGCTGGTCCCAGGGTAGGGTCTGGCCTACTGTGGGCAGGCTGGGTCTGCAGGCTGTGGGATTGTGCCTTTCTTACGTCTGGTGCCTGCCCCCTGGTGGGTGAGACTCGTCCAATGGCTAGAGCAGCCTCTGGGAGGGCAGGGCTGGTGCCTGCACATTGGTGGGTGGAGCTGGGTCCTAGCCCTCCGGTGGGCAGGGACATGTTCAGAGGCAAGTGTGGGCTCAGGAAGTTTTAGGCAGCCTGTCTGCTGATAGGTGGGGTTGTGTCCCCATCCAATTAGTTGCTTTGCCTGAGGCATCCCAGCACTGGTGCCTACAGGCCGTTGGATGGGCCAGGTCTTGGTGCTAATGAGCTAGAGGGAGGGTTCCACAATGGTGCCTGGCAGCACCATTGTCCACGCAGTAGAAAGAGCTCCCAAGATTGGCTGCTGCCAGTGTCTGTGTCCCCAGGGTGAGCCACAGCTCCCCCCCACCTCCCTCCAAGGAGACTCTCCTAGACCAGTAGGTAGGTCTGGCCCAGGCTCCTGTCAAATTACTGCTTTTGCCCTGGGTTCTAGAACATGTCAGATTTTGTGTGCACCTTTTAAGAGCCAGGTCTCTGTTTCCCCCAGTCCTTTGAGCCTCCCAAGGTTAAGCCCTGCTGACCTTCAAAGCCAAGTGCTCTGGGGGCTTGTCTTCTTGGTGCTTGACTCCTGGGCTGCAGAGCCCGATGTGGGGCTTAGAACTCTCACTCCTGTGGAAGAACCTCTGCAATATAATGATTCTCCAGTTTGTGGGTTGCCCACCCCGTGGTATGGGACATGATTATATTGAGAGTCTGCCTCTCCTACCCATCTTGTTGTGGTTCCTCCTTTAATTGTAGAAGATCTTTCTCTGGTAGATTCTGGTCTTTTTCATTGATGGTTGTTCTGCAAATAGTTGTGATTTTGGTATGCTCGTGAGAGGAGGTGAGCTCAGTGTCTTTCCACTCTGCTATCTTGGCCAGTCTCTCCTCCCTTTCTCTGTCAGTTTTTTCTTTTCAGAGAAACATCTCTTAGTTTCATTGATCCTTGTAAATTAATTATTTTTTTATGCACAATATTTGGTGTGGAATAACAAATTATGAGACATGGAGAGAAACAAAGAAATGTGACCCATGGTCAGGAGAAGAGCTAAGAGAAACAGTCAGTGATGGTCCAGATGTTGAACAGTTGGAATGGATGAACAGTTAGAAAATTTTAGCAGGAAGATGGAAGACTATAAAAAGACTGAACTGGGAATGCTAGAAGTGAAAGTATGAATCAGACATTAAATATTCATTTGATGGGCCTAATAGCAGACTGGACATAGCTGGCAAACCCCAAGCAGAATAAGTACAAAGCTGAGGAATATTGCTAACTTAACGCTATTAAATCTTCCAATTCATGAACATGGGATGTGTTTCAGTTTATTCAAGCCTTCTTTAATTTCTCACAACAGTGTTTAGTGTAAGTTTTCAATATATAATGTCAGGCACTTCTTTAGTTAAATGTATTCCTAAGTTGTTTTTTGTTTTGGTTTTTTTTTGGCTGTGTTGGGTCTTTGTTGCTGCACGCAGGCTTTCACTAGTTGTGGTGTGCAAGCTTCTCATTGCAGTGGCTTCTCTTGTTGTGAGGCACAGGCTCTAGGCGCGCGAGCTTTGGTAGTTGTGGCACACAGGCTCAGTAGTTGCTGCATGCGGGCCCTAGAGCACACAGGCTTCAGTAGTTGTGACGCATGGGCTCAGTAGTTGCGGCGTGTGGGCTCTAGGGTGCGCGGGCTTCAGTAATTGTGGCGCGTGGGGCCAGTAGTTGCGGCTCTCGGGCTCTAGAGCACAGGTTCAGTATATGTGGCCAACAGGCTTAGTTGCTCCATAGCATGTGGGATCTTTCAAGACCAGGGATCGAACTCATTGTCCCCTGTATTGGCAGGGGATTCTTAAGCACTGCGCCACCAGGGAAGCCCCTTTTTTTCTTTTGATTGAGGAACGTTTTAATAATATCCCCTTTTTTTTTCTGTAGGTTTTCTCAAATAATGATGAAGGCCTTATTAACAAAAAGTTACCCAAAGAACTTCTTTTGAGGTAAGTGTAGATAAACTTTAAAGATTTCAGATATGATTCAGTCATCAAGTTCCAAGACAATCTTCTTTCTCACTATGAGTCCATAGCTTAGAAAAACAGACAGAATTAGCCTAACTGACTTTTTGTTTTTGTTTTATAGAATGCTGTTCAGCTTGTTGTTAAATTTTACTTGGTCTAATCCAGAATGTACTAAGTATGTACGTAGCATTGGTCTGGATTCTTTTTGTAATGTGGTAAGTATTGTAATAATCCTCAGTAGGTGCCACTGTTTGGGTATTAGTAGGTTATCTCAATGTAGTCAGTAACACGAGGAGAGATTATTAAGGTTGTGAGCTCCTGAAGTCATAGACATTTAGATGTTTTTCTGATCAATAATTACACTATATGTTCTTACTGAGCACTTAAAATGCTATCAGCCCAAATATTGATGTTTTTATTCACTTTATGAGAATTATTGTGCTAAGTGACACTACTATAGAACAGGCTTTTTGTGCTTTATTTTTTAGCATTACTGAATATACAGTTAATGGTATTTTGCTTGTCGTTTTGGGAAGTAAAGCTATCAGCCAACATTTGTTGAACCTGAGGCACTGCAGTTTCCTTTAGTACTCTGCAAGCATCAAGCAAATCTTACTTAATTTTGGATGTTATATTTTAATTGTTAACAAACAATACACGTACACATGGTAATCTTTGAGTGGCATTTCCCAAACTCTTCATATCACTGATATTTCACAAAACAAAACAAAAAAACAGGTTTTGTGATCAAGTAAGTATGGGAAAAACTGGGTTAACAAAACCAATTTCTTTACCACATAACCTCTCAGAGCCCTAATAGGCTAATATGCATGGTGATGCTCCCAGATGAATAGTTGTGGCATTTCAGATTTACTGACCATGGAACGCTTTTAATATTCCTTGGATAATTTTTTGGGAAATGCTGATATACAGTAAGAGATTGAGCAGCTTACTCTGTTCCCTGGCTGTGCTAAATCTCATTTTAACATTTAGGGGATGAGTATGAATGTGTGTTTTGTTTACATGTTGGAGTCCATCACAGAGTTGCTCTATAAATGCCACGGATTGCTCACCTTTTCCACCTTGTATGTTAGACTTTTGTTCTTGAGTCAGGAATGGGGTGAAGGCTTAGGGTCTTTGTGGTGGTGATCACATTTTAGGGGCTTCAGGGTGGCATTTCATTAGTCATCAGGTATTGTTTGACACTGTTGCCGTGAGCTCATTCTACTCAGTTAATAAAGGAGAAAATTAATTCATGGCAGGATCACATGAAAAATACAGCAGTTATGTTTTATTTCAACAAAATAAATATTTGTTTAGTTAAGAGAGAATATTCTTTGGCATTTTAGACCATTTTAAAGTTAAGAAAGTGGTAACAAGGAAGGAATGATATGTTTATCACATAAACCCAGAGGGTCTTAATCAAGCACCGTAAGCTGTTAGAACCAGCGTGGTTATTAGGGTGGGCTGGCTGTTACTATGCAGCGGTCGGCGATGCCATCCACACCAGACCACTGAGTGAGTGATGTTTCCCAGAATTGTGCAATGTTTCATTCTTGGTCTGAACATTTTTCTAGCACAGACATCAAACTGTAATGTGAATATGTCATTTTTACCCTGGGGACTCATAACCAGCTTCAGACCGACCCATGTTAGTCATTTAACACTGGAGTGTGATTAAACTCCACCCTTCTCCTGAATACTGCTGCTGTTTTGACTCAAGGCTGCTAACTTAATATTCTTTCCCTTTTGGTAGGGTTAGCTTTTATACTGTACTCAGCCATGGTACTGTTTCTACCTACTGACCAAAAAGGGCCGGTGGGGGGCGGGGCGGGTGTTGGAATTACATCACTTTCCGTGCTAGTGTGATTTTTGAACTGCCGTTTTAGAAATATTAGTTCTTTTAAACATCCATGATGGACCCAGCTTTCAAAAATGCTGGAGTTATAGTTTTTGAATTATGCTAAGGCTCATACATAGATCATTTTTAAAAAAGAATTGTCATTTGGGAGCAAATGTTCATAGATTTGCATTCCCACTTCTGTTCTAATTTTGGAGTCTGTAAAGGGAATTTAAATTTTAAAGTACTGCCACAACAGGTCTTCTCTGACTCTTCATTCTCAAAACTAACTCTAGCCAGATATTAATTTTTGTTGGTCTTTAAATCATTTCTGCCATTTTACTCTCAGACTTTCTATTCTCAATAGTAGCAGCTCTCCCCTTTCCCGGCTACTTTTTTTAAGCAAAATTTTGAAGAAGGGCTTGAGCCAGGTTACCAAAGCAGACATCTTCATCGTTAGTTAATTCCACAACAAAGTGAGTGAGTGCTACAAATTCCCCACCTCATGGAGCTTAAGTGTTGATTGGTTTTGCTAAGATAAATGATGTCTTCATACTTTCAGTCTGTCTTAGGCTTACATTTTTACTTCATATAGTAGACTTCTTTGTGACAGAGCAGACTGTTGTTCCTGTTCTCGTTGAATTCCTATTTACTTTCAGTCTTACTTCATCAATAGGTGTGAATTCCTTGAGTGTACGATAATCTTATTTGCTTGCAGCCAAGGTCACTTTCTCTTCTGCCATTTTTTACTGCATCTGTTACCACCCTCTTAAATTCTCTGCTAGCTTCCATTACTGATCATATTAAGTGAATCTTCAGCTTACCCTCTGGAACCGTTAACAAACCTGGAACTATGTGATTTTTTAATTTTTTAATGTTTGTTTGTTTATTTATTTATTTATTTTGGCTGATCCTGGTCGTAGTTGCGGCACTCGGGATCTTCGTTGCGGCATGCGGGATCTTTTAGTTGCAGCATGCTGACTTCTTAGTTGTGGGATGCATGCGGGATCTAGTTCCCCAAACAGGGATCTAACCCAGGCCCCCTGCATTGGGAGCGTGGAGTCTTATCCACTGGACCACCAGGGAAGTACCTGGAACTATGCACTTTTCATCTCTCTATATCACTTTGAATCCACTCAGAAAAAATCTGAGTTTTTTTATCTGATCATCTTATTGCTAGTTTTAAGACTACCCGATATTATTAATTCACAGGTCCCTTCTGCTACCCATTTTTAGTTTGTTACTTAACAAGCTTTTACATTTGCTTTTTCTATCCAGCTTTCACTTATAAATTAAAGATATTTGAGTTCTCCCTCTCTACCTTTCACTCTCCCACAGTTCAACAAATAGCTTGTAATTTTACTGTTCCTAGGGAGTCACTTATATAATGCTTATAACAATGGGAATATATAGTTTGTTGTAATGTCTATATCTGTTAGTGAGTTGGGTTCTCCTTGCATGTATTTGTCCTCGTTGTTATTGTCTGTATTTTGGAGCTAAACTTGCTTGAGATTTCAGCTCTCCCCATTTACTAGTTGTGTGACCTTAAAGTGACTTCACTCTCTGGGCCATAATTTCCCATATCTGTAATAGTAATAGTTCTTACCTTAGGGGGTTGTTGGCTGGCTCTGAGTACCTGGCGTTTAATAAATGTTATCTCTTATTATTTTTTTTTAAAAATATTTATTATTTATTTATTTGACTGCGTCAGGTCTTAGTTGCAGCATGCGGAATCTTTCGTTGCGGCACGTGGGCTTCTCTCTAGTGGCGGCACGTGGGCTCTCTAGTTGTGGCACGGGCTCTAGAGTGCACAGGCTCAGTAGTTGCAGTGTGTGTGCTCATTAGTTGCAGCACATGGGCTTAGTTGCCCTGCAGCATGTGGGATCTTAGTTCCCCAACCAGGGATCGAACATGCGTCCCCTGCATTGGAAGGTGGATTCTTAACCACTGGACCGCCAGGGAAGTCCCTCTTATTATTATTAATTAATATCAATTTTGGATCTCTGAATACTTAATAAATACTGTTGACAGTGCAGTTGGTTTTAATACAAACAACTGAAACAAGCAAGTTGTCCTGATACGGATCTTAACATATGCTACTGATAACAGTCTCAGTAAAATACCTGATTATTAAGTAAGTTAATGTAGCCCGGTGCTTCATTTCATCAACCTACACTAATTCAGTCTCAATGGAAATTGCATACTACCATCTGACATTAAACTGACAACTACTGGAGCTTGAGCAGAATAGTGGTGGTATTATGACAACTGTTAATTACTTTGTATTATAAAAAAGGCAGTCTCTTGGAAGGAACCATTCCTCTTTTGAGAAAAGTCTTATATGAGCAAATATTAGCTCACAACTCAGATTATAAATTTTAATATTAATTTGTTTGACCTTAAGTTTTTACTTCTGTTATGGTTGCTCTCAGGCGCTAGTGATGAAATGAAAATGCATGTAAACTTCATAGGAATAGGGAGTGCTACATGCAGTAAATATTTTAAAACGTTCTGAGAAGACATGGCTTTTGTTAGTAATAAATAATAAACCTCTTATTAGACATATTTTTAAAAACTAAATCACCGTTATCTGTATAATTGTATTTCCTTTTAAAATGCATGTGGGGACTTCCCCAGCGGTCCCATGGTTAAGACTCCGAGCTTCCAATGCAAGGGGTGCAGTTTCGATCCCTGGTTGGGGAACTAAGATCCCACATGCCGTGCGGCATGTCCAAAAAATAAAAAATAAAAAAAAGTATGTGGATCCATGACAAAATTAAATCCTGATCATGTTTGTTGGCTTGATGAAGGAAGGTTTGATTGCCTCAAACAGGAGAGGTGAGGCTAATCATTTCGGGCAAATGGAATCAACTACATAATTACCTATAATTTGGCAGTTTTACTAGTTTGCTAGGGAAAATTATAAAATGAAGTAAAATTACAAGCTATTTGTTGAACTGTGTGAGAGTGAAGGATAGAGAGGGAGAACTCGAATATCTTTTATAAGTAAAAGCAGGATAGAAAAGGCAAATGTAAAACTTGTTAAGTACAAACTAGAAATGGGTAACAGAAGGGATCTGTGAATTAATAATATTGGGTAGTCTTAAAACTAGCAATAAGATGATCAGATGAAAAAAAAAAC